TTACAAAAAAAATTAAATGAATTTAAATGTAAGAAAAATATCATAGAGAGATGATAATAAATTCAATAAATAGAAGTGATAAAATAGGATAATTACCTGTTATAATTTACAACAGCTCTTGAATCTTCATCATCAGTATGAATAAAATATGTGGTCTGAGGATGTGCTACATACGGCCTAAATACGCAGGTTGTAGTTTTAATATTGCGTGATTCGAAATCTTGAATGAAAAATCTGAAATTATTAAAAAGAAAAAAATTTTTTTTTTGTTAATTCTACTGAATTATTGTAAATTAATAATTATTGTCAATATTATTATTAATATTATTATTAATATTATTATTAATATTATCGTTAATATTATTGTTAATATTATCGTTAATATTATCGTTAATATTATCGTTAATATTATCAGATCAATATAAACACTCACTTCGAAGCCTCTTTAGAAGCCATAGGAGCCATAACCCAACCCTTTGTCATGGGAAATTGAGATAAAACAGCAAGAGTGTTTCCAGCACTACCACCAAATCTTTTTTCGATTTTTTGGGTTCCTTGCATATTATCCACTGAATCTAATTTGTCAACATAAAGTACAATGTCTTCATGAACTGGACCTATTACAAGGATTTTTAAAGGTATTTGCCTATATTTTGAACCCATTTTTGTAATATTTTTTAATATTTTTGTAATATTTGTCTTACAAATTGTTTAAAAAAATTTTTGAGTTTTGATTTTTTATTTTTATTTTTTTTCTATGAATGGATTTATATATAAGTTTTTACAAGTTCGAGACAACATGAGCGGCTGAGCGGCACATTTAGTCATCGGAGTCACCAATACAAAAAATGCATCTTTGAAATATTCAGCGATCCTTTCTAATCATTACCAATTTATGGTATTGTATGAATTACTCAGTTACATTAAAACATTAGGATCATCTAATATTATTGGTGATAATAAAGACTATTCTACAATCATATGTGGCCCTTTCATTGTAATGTGGATAATCAACATTAATGACATTTTTTGACTAGTAAAATTAGTTAACGGAACAAATTTGGTAATTTTACACAATAGCACATGCATAAATTGAATGATTATCTAGTTAGAAAATTGCTAAGTATGACATTTATTCCATTAATTTTATAATGATGGTAAAAAAAAGGTTACAACAATTGAATTAAATAAATTAAATTTTCGATTAGTGTTTGAAAAATGTACGTAAGTACGTAAGTACTTGCTTTTTTTTGAAGCACATAAAGGGGGAAGGGTTTATAATATAGGGGTGTCTACTTTCCTTACTTAACATATTCTAATCTAATTTAAAAGGCCATTCTACATACGTACTATTGTACATATATGTTTAACAACAATATATTTTACTATCTAATT